AATATATCTATTGCTGGTGTTAAACCATATTAATTAATTTAAATAAAATTTGAAAACTACACCGTTTTGAAATAAGAAAAAATTACCAAAGTCTAACGAACATTTACCATCGTTATCTCTTCCTCATCTTTTCCAAAAAAAGATCCTCCCTCTCTGTCCTCTTTATTCCTATCGGACTTGGATCCTCTAAGTTAAATATTTTCTAAGTTATCCTAAATTGAATTCGTTATAGATTGATACGTAATATTTAAAATCTATCTATTGCTATTGATAGTGTTAAATTACGTCAATTAATTTAAAAAAAAGTTTGAAAACTATATCCTTTTGAGATAAGAAAAAATTACCAAAGTTTAAAAACTGCACTGTTTTGAATTATTGAAAATTCACCATACTCTAACGAACGTTTACCGTCGTTATCTCTCCCTCATCTTTTTCAAAAAACGATCCTCCTTTTTCCTATATTCAATTTTTTTTTTATTATTATTATTTATTTATTTATTTGTTTTAATTCATTTTCGCGTTGCCTTAGGATTTTGTTAACCCCGACGTAGGTTTCAATGTGTGTGTGCGTGTGTGAGAAAAAGGTAGTGTTAATATAGTATATGTGACTAACAAATGCATTTTAGGTTAGTGGAAAATCTAGTAAACTTCATTTTTCACACCTAAGCCACCATTGTTGACATGGAACCCTAGCCTCCATTGCTCATTTTCAAGCCTCTTTCCTTTGGCTTTTGGTCTCCCACCTTGAATGCAAAATTTTTCTCACATCCATCTCTACCACATCTTTGCTTAGTTTCACATTTTGCTTCCATTTCTTTAAGGTTTTTAGAGATACAATTCTTTAGTGAGGTAGGGGCTGCCTTATGTTTATATTCTTTATGTATTTTGTGTTATTTGAGGTTGATATACATTGTGTGCATGTTATATAAAGTTCTAGGGTTGTATTTAGATGAATGTTATTATATCACCTAGAGTTTCATTTTGTATATGATTAATCTCTTGTGTAGTTGTTGTTTTATTTAGTAGAGAATTAAATTCTAGCTAGTATTATTTTGTTGTTATAATTATAATATTATAGGATTATTCTTGTCATTGATTATGTGTGAAATTAAACTATGTTGTTGTCTAAAATTAAGGGTTTAAGCTTACTTTGATAACATGAATAAATTACCTATGTTGACAACCTTGTAATAGTGTAGTTGTATCCACATTGTAAACTTGATATTGTAAATGTTATTGTAGCTTGAGGACTTAGGGCATGGCTTTTGTTGATTTCGAATTTGGGTGTGCATGGAAGGTGGTTAAATGCATTTATAACTATGTAATTGTTGTGGCACTATTGTTGATTTCGCATTTCAATTTACATGTTGACATTACTTTGGATTTGTAACTTGCTGTATTTCATTAGAGATTCCAAAATTGTTAAGTACATTAGCTATTGTGGATTGTTTTCAAAATATTTCAAATATAGCTTATTGTGGATTGTTTTCAAAATGTTTTAAATATTGCTTAGGATGATCCTTCCCCTCCCCCCCCCCCGGGGAAACTAAACATTAGGAGACATAATCCATATGTGTTTGGTTAATATTACATTTACAAAAATCATTGAAACTTTAGGGTATACGCATACGTTTCATCCTACTGAGTAACTCGTTTACTCACCCTAGTTGATATTTGTTTTTCAGGCAAAGAGACTCTCTTTTTGGATGCACAACATCCCTAACTTGGCTTGAATTTCATTTGGATACCTTTTGTATATTTTTGACATGCAAGTGTTGGCATGATTTTGCTCTTTTGAAGTTATTAATGTGTAACTTGTTTAGAAGCATACCCTGCTTCCTTTTGGATGTGTAATATGAACTTAAGTACTCTATTTTGGTGCTAATTTAACATGTATGTAATAGATGAAGGGCCAAACTATTTTGATGTATGGAATGTATGGCAATTTTTAGTATGTTTTTATCTCTACGACATAGTTTTATCTTGGGGGTATTTTGGTCATTTTTCATTGCATTTCATATTTGGTATAAAATATGGTTGATTAGAGGACTTATTTTTAGGGGGGGTTACTTCACAAACTTTTTTAAAAAAATTCCGTTTTAGCCCTGAAAATCAAGCATTATCGAAAAATACTTGTTTGCAGCAAATTAATTTTTTTTCTTGACATACCATGCACTCGGGGGCATTTTGGTCATTTTACATTACATTTTATTTTTTTCTTGAACCATGGTTGATAAGAGGACGCATTTTTACAGGGAGATTTCTTAACAAACTTTTTTCAAGAAACCCCGTTTTAGCCTTGAAAATCACGTGTTTTCGAAAAGAAAACGGCTCGCAGCATATCGATCTTACCAGGCACATTTTGGCAACATTTTTGTAAAACTTTAGAAATTCATATCTTCTTCGTTCTAAATCCAAATCAGATGATTTTTGAGTCAAAATTTATTAATTTTTTGTTGTATATCCAATGGTATGCACGGTAGCATCCATTTATGTTTGTAATGATCAATTTACCCCTAGTTCATTGCCTTATCTGTTTCAAACCTTAACTTCCGCATTTGCTTCTTTTTTAGCCTTGTGATCTCTTAGGAGGTCACTTTGCCGTCTTATAGGTGGTGTCCATCTCTAGAGACTTTTTCTATTTTGTTGTTTCCGCGTTGCGAACTCGTTATCGGGTCAGTTTTCGGGTTACTCGCTGACGTACGTGGTTCTTTGAAATTCGAGCTGTCACACCTTCTTTCTCCTCTTCATTCCTATCTTAAACAAGTCGTGATAGTCTCTGTTTCTCTTTTAACTTGTCCGACAATCTCTCTCATCTTTTCTATATATAGGGTTTTTTGTTGTATTTTCCTAACTCCATTAAATTCATTCACATATTCATTGGAATGAGCAAGAGAAGAGAGATGGAGGATCTTTTTTGGAAAAGATGAGGGAGAGATAACAACGTTAACATTCGTTAAAGTATGGTGAATTTTCCTTAATTCAAAATGGTGCAATTTTTAAACCTTGGTATTTTTTTTTTAAATCTCGAAACGGTGCAGTTTTTTAATTTTATTTAAATTAGTTGACGTGATTTAACACCAATAGATAGATTTTAATTGTCACATGTCAATCTATAGCGAATTCAACTTAGGATAACTTAGAGGATTCAAGTCTATAAAACAACCGCTAGAGCTAAAAATAAATAATCTAAATTTTTTGTGTAAATTTATCATGACACATCAGATTTACACAAAAAATATACACAACGGTTGGAGATGTCCTAAGATTGTTGACAAGACAGGACACTAGACATGGCATCCGAGTTAGCAATGAGGTGTTGAAAACAAAATGGGGCTTTCCCTGTAACAAATCACGAGTCCATTTCTAACATTAATGAGAGTATATTGGTAAAAATAATATGAAAACTCTATTTTCCTTCCTTACGATCAAAAAAAAAAAAAAAAGTGTTACCACATCTATCTTTCTACTATCCATCCCCTCCAACCAAAGAAAAAGTGAGGGAGACACCTTTCATTTCCTAGGGGTGTCTCATCCATCCCTCCCCATCGTCCTTCCATCCATTTTTTCAATTCTCCAACTAAACAGAACCTGAATTATAATGATTTTTATATCATATATATACTATCATTCAACTACTTTGTCATAATAATGTTTTTATTTAAATAAACAAATATTATTTAATAATTTGCTTGTAATCATATGTATATAATATTAATTTTTCTAAAGAAAAAAAAAATTGTATACTTTAGAATGTATTCATATTATTTTCAAGATTATCGGATAGGCCTGTGTTAGAAATATTTGAAAGTATCAATTTAGTGTCCAAAAAGTACAGGTAAAGTGTCCGAAAATATCAAAAAAAGTATTCAAAATAATAAAATTTTATTTTTATTTATTATCGTATATGAAGTATTTATCCAAGTAGTGTTCCATGCAACTAATCTTTTTGGTCAAACTAATGCACATTGTAATTATTTCTCTCTGGTGTCATGTATAGGTTTGAATTCCACAATCACTCCAACTAATCTTTTACGTCAAATTAATGCACATTGTAATTATCTCTATCATACATTTCTTCAACATTTGACCATCCTTTCATTTTCTTCGAAAATCATATCCCCTTAGTCACCACATGCAAATGTTTTTGCTATGTAAATTTGATACAGCCCCGTCATATCCATGTGATTGATAACCCACTCCTTTAATACCAGAAACAAATGTTGGACATGAATTTGATACTTTCTTTATAACAAGACTTGAACTTGACAGAGATAACATCGAATGCTTTTAGGTATGATCGAAATAGGATCAAGACCAATTCCTTCACACATCAAAAATAAATCATTAGTTATAATATTATGATAATTACGCCACTTATTAGGAGAAAAAATATTATAAAATTTTATTTGGTACTTTCTCTTATATTTTGTTAGGCAAATGTCTCGATAGTTTAATAAATTAATATTTATCTACTAATTTAAATCCTAAGGCTTCTCTTCTTGTCTTGCAAAAAATAATACTATATTTTGTAAGTACTGTACAAAGAAACAAATGTTGGACATGAATTTTGTTATTTTTTAAAAATTTATTATATTTTTTTGGGTGGGACATTTATGGTGAGTCTCAACTTTCACACCAAGTTAATAGCCAATTGGTTAGCACTACCAGCCAATAGGGTCACGCCATTTGATGAGGTTGAGGAGATACCTCAAAGAAAGCTACACTTGATTCTCTCTCGTGTCTTTCAAGGCCTCACACCTAGACCCCACGCGCAGTGGTAGAAACTGAACACCACACGAGTCAAGTGTGACAGTCAACGTCTCGTTTAACTCACTGAGCCAACAACCGATTCCAGAAAACCCGAACAGTACCACACACTCGGTTCGCTAACGTTACACTAGACACCGTTCAAATTCTTGACGACACGTGTAAAAGCGTCGATAACACGCCAATTCAGTCGACGCGGTTTCGCCGTTATCACTCCCTCCACCACATAATTGCTGATACCTTATAATATTCCCTTCAACCTCCGTGTCCTCTCTCTCCAAACGCTCCCTCCTCTCTAGACTCTCTCTCTACCCGCCGGAATATTCTTTCTCCCGGCAACGTAGGGTTTTCTCCGAACGTTCTCACACTTTTCTCTACTCACTCTATAAATACCTAAATTGGAGATTTAAAGTTCCTTTATAGGGTTTATTATATTATACCCATATCTGGCAGTGGTAGCTCTTAGATTTGAGGCAACCAAAATTCAAAATTTTTGGTGAAATTTGTTGATTTTATCTTTTGATTGGAGAGGTGTTTGAAGGAAAAGATCTGGTTTTTGTGTGTGATTGGTTCGTTTTCGGATCAACAAGAACTAGAAGAGAAGGATGTCTTCTGCTGGGTCTCCGTCGTCTTACTGGTGCTACAGATGCAGCCGATTTGTTAGGGTTTTGAACCAAGACTCGGTCTTGTGTCCCGATTGTAACGGAGGATTCATTGAAGAGATCGACACTCCGATGCGATCTGGGCTAGCGGAGTCTCGGCGGCGACGATTTCCCACTGCTGCGTTTATGATCGCAAATGGGCGGAATTCGGATCAGAATATGAGTCCAGCGCTCCGCCGGGGCCGAAGGAACGGTGGAGATCGGTCGCCTTTTAATCCGGTCATCGTTCTCCGCGGACCATCTGATGAAGGAGCAGGAGGAGGCGGAGGTGGCGGTGGCGGTGGCGGTGGCGGTGGTGGGTTTGAGTTGTATTATGATGATGGTGCAGGGTCTGGATTGAGACCATTGCCGGCGAGCATGTCGGAGTTTTTGTTGGGGTCAGGCTTCGACAGGCTTTTGGATCAATTGGCCCAAATTGAAGTTAACGGTATTGGACGGATCGATCACCCTCCGGCGTCGAAGGCTGCAATTGAGTCAATGCCCACTGTTGAGATTGGTGAGAACCATATAGCAACTGAATCACACTGTGCTGTTTGCAAAGAGCCCTTTGATTTAGGTACCGAAGCTCGTGAAATGCCCTGTAAACACATATACCATCCGGACTGTATACTTCCATGGCTTTCCCTTCGCAATTCTTGCCCCGTTTGCCGCCATGAATTGCCAACAGATGGCCAAAACGAAGTTGAGCCGAATAGGGTCCAGAATGAGCAGACTCCGGTGCCAAGTGAAGAAGAAACTGTTGGGTTGACGATATGGCGGTTACCCGGTGGCGGGTTTGCTGTTGGAAGGTTCTCCGGGGGAAGAAGAGGCGGCGAGCGTGAGCTTCCTGTTGTTTATACGGAGATGGATGGCGGCTTGCACAATAATGGTGCTCCAAGAAGGATTTCATGGGCATCGCGAGGGAGTGTTTCAAGAGAAAGTAGTGGATTGAGGAGGGTTTTCCACAATTTGTTTGCTTGCTTTAGGGGACATGGTGGTTCTGCCTCTAGTTCTAGTTTGGATTCGGAGGCAATTAATAGAAATAGCTCTGTGTCGTCTGTTTTCACAACCTCCTCAAGGAGGCGGCGCAGCAGAGCTTTTCAAGTTAACAATGGAACCCTGAGATGATGGTTTTTTTCAAGGAATTCGGAATTTGCTAAAGTGCTTATTGCTTTGTTTTCGAGTTTACCGTCCGATCCTTCCGTGTTGGTGGGGGAGAAATGTCTGTGGAAATCATGGTTATCAGTCTTTGTAAATAACAAGAAGTGGGAAGGAAATGTAATGGTGTGTCCATGTTTGCATTCTGTCGAGGATCATTGCAAAGTGGTATACAGAGAAGAAGTGAGCAATTGTTTGAGCAAAAGCAGAAGAAGATAAAGTTTAGAGATGACTTCAAAGGAACAAGTCTAGAGTTAGAGCTGGCTTCTGAGGAGTGTAAAGGTACATGGCCTCATGTACCGCAGTGCCTTTGAACTTAATAGTGCCTGAGCTCTCTTTTTTTGTTTTCGTTTTTTCTTTTTTCTATATATATATTTTTGCCAATTTGTACTTGGCTTAATTTGCTCTCTCTATATTTGTTATTTACTTTTCAGAAATCTCCAAGTCCTATTTAACTTATAAAGCTTAATGCATGAGCTCTCTTGATGTCTCTACATTGGTTTATTCTTTTTGTTTACATGTTATGAATTTCCAACCTGTCAATATATATGTGTGTGTATTTAGGCATTTTTGTTGAGGTTTAGTTTGGCAGTGTTGGACCTTGGATGGAGGATGAGAGTTTCATATTGTTGATGATATTTGTGTGTAGAATGTCATTGAAGCATATTACTGGTTTTTCAAAATGATAAATTTTCTCCCATTAGTAATGCATCAATTTGAGGCTTAATTCGGTGTTTCAGAAGGTTTGAGCTATATAAGAAGATTAATATTTTCTGTTTGTGGAAATCCTTATTATTCGTCTTTGTTCTATACTTCTCATGACATGAACCGGATGGTTATAAGAGAGAAATGATCGTTTGTGATGAATTTTTGTGCTAAATAACAGAATTCAGTTGGGGTTTGGGCTTTTTTTTTTTGCTAGAAAGACTGGATGATGAATTAGGATAAATAGGAAGGAATAATTATAAAGAGAAGGGAACCATGAGTTGATATAATTTGGCCACAGAATGTGATGATGTAAACGCAGAATTCAGGTCTAGAGGAATGAAGGACCTTAAGTATAGGATTTGGCATGGAACACGGAAACCATATAAAGAAAAGATGGAGAGAAATATATATATATATATATATATATATAAATATATATATGTGGGTGTGTGTGTTAGATCTCTCTCATAAGATTTTGATGTCTCATTTTAAGGTGCATATTTCTTAACATGCTTCAAATTTTTATGGAACCCGTAAGATCCCTGGGATGCATTTGCGAACTTTGTTTTATTTTAAGCTGAATTCCTCAATGGGTCTGTTGATTGGAATAAATTAGATCCATTTTAATTCTGCATATGAAACAACTTGGCGAAAATTGACATTTGAGATTGTATTGTATGTGGTCTGCACTTTTCTTCCCTAGTCCCCCCCCATCTACCACATAAAGAAGGAAGCTCCTGCTTCATGGGGATCTAAACCAGCCTTCTTCTGTGAAGCGCCTCTTTCAGATTTCTGAAGTTTCTGGTATGCTGTTGAGCTCCAAGTTTTTGAGTTGTGTACTTTTGTGGGGGTAGCAAAAACAGTAACCATACGACTGGCGCCCAACCAGACTGGTATCGGTGGCTGCGCGTGCTCTTTTGAAAGCTATAGAAGAGGATCCGAAAATGGAAAAGTTCCCCCGGCTATAGCTGGCAAATCTAGCAAGACGATTTCCGCTCGGATTATTTCATAGGGGGTTGGTGCTCAGCAGAATCTTTCATTATGGGAAGCTTTGCGTCCCGTGGCATCAAGCAGTCAATTTGTGGAGAGGTGTTCAATCAAGACCTAAGGGGTATGAGCTGTTTTGCTTTAGTGCTAGAAGAGGTTGAGTTGCTTAATTCATGGGCAGAGGAGGGAAAGGGGTTGGCATTCCTGTGGGAAGATGGCTCAAGAGGAAGATGCATTCGGCATGCTATTTAGGGTAAGTAACCAAGGAAGGATGAGCTGTCCGGGAATTTTCTATCAATGCTTGATGATGCTAACAATTGTGCTTTACATACAGGGGCGTAGAAGAAACATGCATGTCTAGATTTTTGTTAATGGAAGTACTAAGCAATTGTTACTCCTTCCTTCAATTCTGCACAGACGATTCTTCCACTTTTGGCTACCTTTTGTTATTTGTTAGTGGTCGGTGATGGGATTACTTTGATTTAGGAATCTTTCTTGTGCTACCTGATATTGATTCCTTAAAAGAGCACATGCTACCATCAAATATAATGGACCATATTAAAATATAAGGTAATTAATTATTTTAAAAGTTACAAGGTTTTTTTTTTAGGTTTCATCTTAATTTAATATTTTTGTTGACAATTAAAGTTTCAATTATATCAAATTGTGTATCTATTATACACACATTGCATCTATGTAAAAACTCTTGAGATAAAACATTGTGCCTTTAATCATTATGTACATTAATTGACTCTTGAGATAAAACATTGTATCTTTGATCATTAATAATATACATTAATTACTTTGATAGACATTTGTTAATTGGTAATGATCAAAACTAATGATTTATGGACTCTATAAACAAAAATAAGGGGAGGAATTTTTAAATAAAAAATCAAAGTATTTGAAAATTTGTAAGAAAATATTGTAATTTTTGTTGTAGATTTTGTACAAATCAAAAATAAGGAAATAAGGAAGGGAAGATATCTATTTAAGTTAAATTTTAGAATAAATACCTATTTAAATTAAATTTTAGAAAAACATAATCATATTTTATCTCTGCAATTTTAAGTTGAAATATTAAAATGGTCAATAATATTATTTTCCTTCCTTAAATATTGAGACTCTCTGTCATACTCAATCGCTGAAGAAGAGGAAGAATAGAAGAAATGAGTAACAGGGCTTGTGGATTTTATTTAATTGGGCCAAAAATAAATAAATAAGTAAAAATAATAGAAAACAATATTGCTCCGTTTTCTCCTCATATAAATAATCCTTACCATGAACATTTGAGCCAAAAAGAGCTTATATATATATATATATATATATATCTCCATGAATAATTATGTTTTATACTGACAATTTTGTCCTTGAACCGGACTTCGGGTCCAAAAGTGCTGTTCCAATTTTAGTTGGATGACGGAGCCAATTTTTTTTTTTTTTTCAGGAGCGTATATTGAAGTATTGGATAACATAAATTTATAATATAATGTACATCCATATTAGTCAATATTTATTAGTATTATATGTATATATATATATATATATATATATGTATGAGTAGTGATCTCTTGCTCAAGAAAAGTCTTTCGCACTTTCTATAGTGACCATTAGATTAAATCTAATGGTCAAATTCCAAACCCACTTATATACTTTCCTTTTAATATAAAATTACTATCATTATTTATAGTTTCTAAATTTAAAATTTATCAATACCACTAATTACAACTATAAAAGATAAGTGCCAAACAAATAAAAATATAAATCGCTTCACCTCTGGAACGTCTCACGACCACTAATCGGAATTTTTATTTTCTTTGATGTCTTTGCTGTTACTTTACATATTAACAGTCTTTCATACTTTTTTTACTTACCAATAAAAAATTGATGATAGTGGAAAAAAAAAAATGATGATAATAATAGAAGTATTAAAGAAAAACAACTAATTTACAACGGAAATCTGAAATTTTATAGAATAATATAATTTTTTGTCGTTAATCTCATCATTACGTCAATAAATTTTTGTTATTATAGTAGAACTAGAAAAAAAATTTTGTATGACTTATTATGACATATGAGTAATTGGAATGTGTTTACAACTAATTAAAATCTGGAATAAAATAAAACAAAATTAACAAAAAAGATGAAACAATTTGTGACAAAAAGGGTAGAGAATAATAGATTGAATTTCTAGTTTTTAAATAGCATGTATTTAGGGAGGTATACAATAATTTAAATTGTGAAGTGCTTTGCAAATCACAGGTTACCTTAAGTTAATCAAGTGGATAAAAAAATACAGATTTTATTTTTAATTTTTTTATTATTTTTTTAGTTGATGTTTTGTATGTCAATAGTGTAATTTTTAATTTTTTTTTCAAACTCAAACAAATACGCAATGTCAACTTTAGTATCAAGTCATGGATGCAATTCTCTAACACTTATAATTTTTTTTTAAAGAAAATAAAATTCCGATTAGTGATGTGATCTGATTTCGAGAGGTGAAGAGATTTCTATTTTTATTTTTTTAGTACTTACCTTTTATTGTTATAAATAATGGTATTGGTAAATATTAAATTTGGAAACTTGAAATAGTTGTATTGAAATAGTGGGTTTAGAATGTGACAATTTGATTTAATTTAATGGCCACTATAAAAGATGCGGAAGAATTTACTTACTCCATATGGAACAAGAGATTACCTATATATATATATATATATATATATAGTAAAGAGTAATATACTGACTTTTACTCATAACTTTATGATCTAATCCTACGGTTAATTGAAATAATAGTTACATTAGGTAATTATCTTTCTTTTAAGGGCAAATTTCTCAAAACCCCTAAAACTATCAAAAAAAAAAAAAAAAAATTGATCATAAAATCACAACCAGTTTTTAAAACCCCCCAATAATATAACAAAGTTATCATTTTACCCCCCAATTGGCCGTTAAGAGTATATGAAATGACTAAATTACCCTTATTTTATTCCCTTTTATTTAAAAAACCAAAAAATTATATTTTTAAAATTACAATATTATCCTTTAGCACAAGCCCAATATTTTCCATTATTATTGATATATTAACACAAACCCAATTATTTTAGCCCTGTAATTAAGACAGCCAGAGAAGATGAGGTTACGAAAATTCTCTCTCTACGTCTATCTTCATATATAGATATAAATATACAAACATATTATCTTACTCTTTCTCTTTCCACAACTCTCTTTCTTTCTCTCTGATATAAGAAATTGTCTTCAAGAGAATTTTCAACATACCATCTGCGAATAAGATAATTCTCTTTTAGTAAGTCATCATCACTTTAGAAATTGATTTTTTCTTCGGCAACGAGCAGCGATCAACCTCTCCTTCCCCAACGATGCCTTCGATGTCGTCGTCCGTGCCAAGACTGCCCTCGATCTCGCCTAGTGCTACCTTTTGTTGCAGAGGGAAATCAGTTTAGGGCTTAATAAAACGTCAGAAAATTTTAAGTGATTGCAAACCCCCAATTTTTGCTGGAATAGTTCCACTCATGTTATTATCTCTCAGGTCCAGTACCTCCAACTTTCTAAGCCCTCCAATTCCTTTAGGAATGACACCAGAAAACCGGTTCTTGTAAAGTACACTAAAACAGGCGAGAGAGAGGAAGAAGAAGAAGATAGAATCAGAAAATTTTATTAGATTCAGAATATGAGTTCAGCAGAATACATATTGAACAGCGGATCTAGACCCTAGCCATATCAATGAATCATGGGGATTCATATCAAATGACAGAAGATCAAATGAAAAAAAAAAAGAAAG